ATTTTTCAATGTCTAACCGCCAAACCTTACAAAGTTCTGGTGATTTGCTATGAGGTAGGCGAAAAACCAAGTGGCTGGTGCCGATCTGCCAAGTGGAAAAAAATCCTACCAGGCCCCTTGAACAGGCGATAAGGTCAGGTGCTGAAGCAAAACCTAGAGGGTGGGCGGGTGATCTGAGGGAGCCGGAACAAAATAAGGAAGAGCTCATGGGCCCGCAGCCATTTAAATGTGGCTAAACCACAGCCCCCAGCCAGCCGGATTGGCTGGGTGTGTAGTTTAAACGGATTGGCTGGCTGGGGGCATGAAGCGGGGCCCAGGACTCTAGTGATGCAGGGGAACCAACCACCCCCCCTGCAGGCGTGGGAAGTGATTGCTGCTCACAACCCCTCCCCTCTGGGAAGAGGAGAAGCGCAAGAAGAGATATGGGACCTTCAGTCTTAAGAACTGGATGACTGGTATGCTAGCATTTGGCAAATTGCCCTCCTTGAAAAGATGTATCTGTGGCATGCTCTATAGCATGAGTTTATTTCTTATACAATATTGAGGTATGAATCACTGGTACATTCAAATGTCTGGCTCATCTAAGACTTTAAATAACCTTTATCCTAAAAAAAATAATGGTGAATAAAGGTGAGGAATACTTTTATTTTTACATCTCTTTGTTTTCTGTAGGAAATCTATTTCATTATTCCTTTGGAGCTGTGCTTATGTACTTTAGTCCTTACAGGCGGTGATGTTCTGTGGTTTACATTTGTTCTTTTTGATTTTTTCTTCTTGTTATGTTTGCACTTTTTATTTTTGGGCTACCAGATCCAACACAGGCAGATTTTTGTGCCCTTAATAGTTACAGAGAAGAGAGAGTTCCAGCTTCTATCATCATGAGGGGAAGGAAGTAGCCCCCCTCAGCTGATACCCCCTGGCCCTGGTCACTTGCCCAACCTGTTGGTCTTTTTCACCAGTTGCAGCCTGGATGGAGAGCTCTTGGCACTATTTAGCAGCCCTCATAGAACGCTGGATGTCCTGTGCTGCAAACATTCCAGGTGTCTCAACTTTGGTGATGGTCGGCTGCTGGCACTGCTCTCTGGGATGGCTGAGTTTCCTGCTCCCCGGATATCTGAAACCTATTCTGGCAGAATCCTGGCTCCTGATCTGCCTGAATTCTGGAACACTGTTTTTCTTATTAGAGAACCGAGTAATTGTTTGTCCATCTGGAGACTAGTGGCCTTCTAATGAGCCGGGTTCTGATGCTGACCAGACCTGTGAGTTATTATGGAGCTATGGCAACGCTCAGGTCTACATGCAGCCAGCTATTTGAAACAGGGCATGAAATGAAGAAAATCAGTGTCCATGCACACAACCAGCTTTTAAGAAACCAGCACAGGGCTTAAAAGGGTTTGTAGGATTGTCCCCTTTGCATATCTCTGGAGAAGCACTAAATGGGTTTCTGTGCTGTGTGACAAGGTAGAGAGAAAGGGGGGGGAGCGGGTATACTTACTCTGGGCCAAGGAGGGCTAATTTGGCCAGGGGCCCCCACCAGGGTTCACCTGCTTTTTTGTTTGAGACTATAACTTTATTCTAACCAGACTCCTCAGACAAGCTCTGCATGGGCCTGAGAGAAGGGTTAGCAGAAGTGATCTGGGGGAGGCCAGCCAGATTTTAAAGCTGTATTTTTACTTCTAACCAAAGCTCTCACAAAAGATCGAGCTAATTCTCTAACATCAACAAGCATAGCACCCGAACATAAATGACAAAATACGCCTCAGAGGGAATATAATGGGCAAAGAAGTCAGCAGTTAGACAGATTATATAAGACTATGTGAGCGAATGGAAACAGGAACACAGCAAACTGCCTTATACTGAGTCATCAAGTCCATGGGTCCATCAAGCTCAGTACTATCTGCACTGACCAAGAATTCAGGCACGATTCTCTCCTGGCTCCCCCTGGCAATGCTTTTTTTTTTTTTTAAAATAATGTTTATTAAGAGTTTAGAAATTACAGAAAGAAGAGGGGGGGGAAAGTTAAACAAAGCAATACAATACAATACAATACATATAAAACAGAAAACACTACTTATCTTAACAAAACAAAAACAGAAACAATTAAAAACGCATCCTATATTTCCATATCTTATCTTTCATTTACTTGTTTCGACGACCTCCTCACACCTCCCTTTTTTGTATTCTAGTTCAATTAGCTATTTCAGCAAATCCTTTCCATCTTTCTCAGTTTTTGTCCCATAATTTATCTTAACACAATCTAACGTTATTTTTTCCCCCTTTAGCCCATTAACAGTCTATTTTTACTTAATTCTTTATAACCTTTCTGCTAAAGCCATATAACTTCATTCCAGTATCCTTCTAACATTCATTAATTTTACAGTGTTTCTGTAAATAGTCTTTAAATTTTTCCCAATCTTCTTCCACCGACTCTTCTTCCTGGTCTCGGATTCTGCCAGTCATTTCCGCCAGTTCCATGTAGTCCATCAGCTTCATCTGCCATTCTTCCCGGGTGGGTAAATCTTGTGTCTTCCAATACTTTGCAATAAGTATTATTGCTGCTGTTGTAGCATACATAAAGAAAGTTCTATCCTTCTTTGTCACCAATTGGCCGACCATGCCCAGGAGAAAGGCCTCTGGTTTCTTCAGGAAGGTATATTCATTTCATTATAGATCATCTCCCAGAATGTCTTAATCCTTGGGCACGTCCACCAAAGGTGAAAGAATGTACCTTCATCCCCCTGGCAATGCTGAGGGTTGAACATGGGCTCTCCTTCATGCAAAGCAGATGCTTCCCACTGAGCCACAGCCCTTCGCGCTTTAATTGGTCTGGCCCGATGGAAGGGGCAAACTAGGCCACCACCTGAGACTCTCACACCTGTCTGAAGATGTACCAATGTCCCAGGAAGAGACATTGATGTGATGCACGTATTCCTCTTGTTCACAGCCATGGCCTGCAGATCAATCTTGTAATATATCTAACAGAATCAGATAACATAAGACAAACCATCCAGGTAGCTAATGAACAAGCATAGATTGACCACAGCACTAAAGCACACTCTAGGCCTATTATAGAAAGGGCAGTAGAGAATATGCATTTGGGCCACACCGACAGATGGTCAGGAGCTGGAATTCCAGCATATCTGTCATCAAGGAATTGCTTGGAGTTGTACAACTTGACTTTTCTTAGGAGGAGAAATGTCTGTTCAGGAGAAGGATGCCTGCTGAGTGAGGTCTATTTTATAAAGTTGCTATCAGCTGGAAAAGAGTGTAGTTTAAATAGATCTGTCTTACAGATCTGGAAACTATGTCAAAGCCTATCTTTGTGACTGACTTAGCAACCTACAGTTCAACAACTACATATCCACAGTCTGATAGTCTGATCTCATGTTTTAAGCCAACTGTAAGCAGCTATTTTCTCCATAAATCTGAAGCTTGAGAGAGAATTTTCAAGTAAAGGATGTCATCATAACTAAAAACAAAGAAGCACTTTATGCACTTTGGTCTTACTAGATGAGAGTCCTACTTCTGCCCTCAATTCAGTATTGGATAGTTCTTCTGGGGGAACCTGTCTCACAGTGTCAGGTGCAATAGTCTCCTGATCTCCAGCAGCAGACTAAGAGCCCTGGAATTGGTTCATGTCTATGACTCTGTGTCTGGATTGTTGCTGGAATCAGGGGTCATGATTAAGATCCATTTGAGCTTAAAGTCTTAGGACCATGTTATCTGTATATCATAAACCACATGCTTTGCAATTTAAATCTGAATAAGGAAATACATATACATCCTTTATTTCTTTAGCTATAATGTGGGGAGGTGGATCAAACTGGACTGGCCCAAGACAGATTGTTAACTTGATGTGAAAGACGAGATGGTGTCCCTCCCCCATTCCACACACAGAAGCCAAAAAGAGGGACAGCTGAATCTTCCCTCAGCACTAGCAACAGCGTTGGAACTTCCACTTCACCTGGTGAGTTTAGAGTACCCCAACAGTGGGGAACAGCAGGCAGGGGTCCATGAGGCCCAAACAATGTTTTGCATACCTCATTTTCATCAAAATGTTAGAGGGTGTGGTTTTGATGCTTGGATGCTGGTGTCCCACCTGTGCCTCATGTTCAGTTTGTGGCTTTGAACAAACTATTTGGCTTCAGCACTCTTTTTGCAAAAGTAGCCAAGGGGCAAGGGGCCAGCGATTGACTGTTGGGGCAGAAAATTGAAGTGGCAGCATCAGGTGAAGATGCACAAGGGCTCATCAGGGTGTTGGTGTGGGGTGTGTATGTGTGAGTCCTGAGGGAGATGGGATGGGACCTCCATCAAGGAGTCTGGTGGGAAGTGGGAGTCACTGAGCAGGGTGGATGTATCTGCAGAGTGGGCGGCGAGGCTTTGGTGGGGGTGGTGTCTGGGGGCTGGTTCATATCCCGATTTGCATCACTGGGATGTGGGAGGGTATGTTATGCTAACTAGGATATCTGCTGCAGCTTCCAACATCTGCCTTAGCATTGCATTGAGAAGATCAACAAACTACGGTAATTGCTTGGCATCGACTACTTCTCACTAGGGCCTTATTCTACAAGAATATGAACATAGCCTATGGTGACCATTAGAGAATGTGGCCGTGTATAGAGGGCTGGAGAACAGTGCTTTGTTTTGCTTTTACACTGCACAATGTATTAGTAGACCTACAATCCTGCTGTGAGCATAAAGAAATGCTGCTGAATGCTCCCAAATGCCTATTAGTGCACTTTAGTTTCGTGCACCATCTCTTGCTGCTTGCTGAGATTTCTCATCAGTCCAAATGATCCTAGATTCTGCATAGACAATATACTGATGGAATATATTTTATATTCTTACTACTAGAGGCCAGAAGCCCAAACTTACTCTGGTGACTCAGGGGACCCTTCTAAACAAAGTGGGAATCTCATCAAACTCGACTTGGATCTTAAGAAAAGCTTAAGTCAGTTCATGGAAAGAAATTACCTCCCTCCTTTGCCCAGCGGCCCCTATCCACCCCAGACTTTGCACCCCACTTTGTTCAGAAGGGTCCCCAACCTTTTGAAGCAGGTGCCGCTTGCTGTGAACTTTAGTAAGTTCACTTATCTTTGAGTCAACACCCATGTGGCAATCATATTATTGTTATCAAAGCCATAACAAAAAGCCATTTCAGGAAAGTGTCTGCCTCTTGTTTGGACTTTTATCTAATGGAGAAGTCAAGCAGAAACTCCAAGTTCAGTTTCCCAGGCATCATCCCACCTGCTTCTCACATGGGTGTCTGGGGGAGGTATACACACAAAAAACCAAGTGTCTCTTGGAGTCCCCAAATCTGCCCTTGAAGTGATCATGAGCAGGAGGAATGTCAAACATTTCCACAAGCAAATTTTATTTCCTCTGCCCTTGGGAAATAGGTATGATTTGAAATACTTGGCATGGCATGAGGTAAAAAATAACACAACTGCACAAAGTAACAACTGCAATTCTGACTGATCCATTCAGCGATGCCTATGATTTCTTGTCTCCTACAACTACATAGGCTCCAACAAATAGATTGTGTTCCTCACCAAACTAAAACACACAGAGACACACACACACACAAAGAGCTCACAAACTTTTGCATTCTGCATTTGGAATCTGTTCTCTGGTACTTCAGAGAGGTTCCCTATATTGAATTTGAGAAAGTCTCTGTACTTCATTTTCTCCTACCTTCAAAATATTTTAATTTTTAATATGAATTTTAATATTTTATTAATTCTAGAAGATAAAAGAAGAGAATCTTGTACAGCAGGGAAAAGGCATGTACTTCATGACAAAAAGATCTGGTCACATTTGACAATGCAAGCTTCATTAACTAAATGATTTTGATAACTTCACAGATTATGTTTTCATATTTATTCTTGGGAGAACAAAGAGTTCATTTTGAAAAAAGATGATGTTGTGATCAATAGTTGCCTCACATTAGCAGCCAAGCGTGCCACTTGCTCTCCTGTCAATTAAATTGTCTGTTCAAGTCATTATCTTGTTCTTAGAACTCCATTATATTCTTTATCACATTCAGTTGTACAAATAAGATTCACAGTGATCATGTATGATGGAGGAAACCTGCCTTGCATTGCCAAGACCTGGGTGGGTTGGCTAGGCAGAGTAGCTTTGACTCAGTTTCACCCGACAGGATATTCAGTGCAGCACCAAGGGCCATGATAGAAGGTCTGGCGACAGACCTTCACCTTGGCTTAACATCTTGGGTTAGGCTATGAGGGCCTGTACCTGGTGTTGGACCCAAGAGACAAAATAAGGGTGCTGTTGGTCTGCTGCCCTTCCTGTTGCCCAATGGACTTCCTGATCAAACTGACTGAGCTGGTCTCAGATGTGGTGTTGGAAAATCCCAAGACACTGGTCCTGGGGGATTTCAACATCCATGCTGATGTCACCTGGCAGGACCAGCTTAGGACTTCAGATGCTCTGGGGCAACAATGGGGCTGTCTCAGTTTGTCATTATCAGAACATAGTCTCTATTCAACCTCTGTCTTAGGGTGTGAAGGGGGTGATCTGGATTTTGTTGGCATTTTGTCATGATCAAATCACTGTCTGGTGAAATTTGGTCTCATAATGCCAGTCCCCTTGCAGGGTTGGAGAAACTATTGAGATGGTCAGCTCCTGGAAACTAATGGAATCATAGAATTGTAGAGTTGGAAGAGACCCTAAGTGTCATCTAGTCCATCACAACTAAAGCATCCCTGACCCTGGGAACTCCACCGCTGGGCATCTAGATGGCCACTGTGAAAGAAGACATAGGATTATATAGGTCATTGGCTTAATCTAGCAATGTATTTTTATGTTCTTATGCCCTGTTCTTTTTAGTTATTAATATTTTACCGAATGTTTGATTGACAGACTCTCTCATTTTATTGATTTTTTATTTGTATTTTTAGTTATAATGTTGAACATTGATTTTTCTCTTCTTTTTTAATGAACTGGTGGTGGTATAGCAGTTAGAGCATTTGCATTAAAATGGTATATAAATAATATGTATCATATTTTTTGCAAGGCAAGATCACTTCAATATGTTTTATTCTGTCCTGTAGATAAGATGTATATGTATACTTATCTCTACAGTTAGCTGATATCAACATCAAAAATTCAAGCAGAGACCAAATATAACACATATATGTTTGTGGATAAGAATCAAATTGTGCCCTGGCTTGATGGGTTGGCTCAAACTCTAAAATGTCATTGACTACGAAACTGAGAGCAATCTGCATAGGGAAGCGTTAGTGTGATCAATGGTTAGAGGAAGAGAGCCAGCCACTCAATTAATGCATCCCATGCTCTACAGCAGAATGACCTATAATTTATACATCCCCAGATGAAGCTGAAATGAATATTCTCAGCTATTTGAAATTAGTGCTTAAAAGTTTAGCATTGAATTTCCAAACTTATGACTGAGAAAGCAAATCTCAGCTGAAATCTGTATTGTTTTCTAGAAAGCCTCCAATAAGCTTTTTCCACTGGTCATACCATATTACTGTCAGGGGACCTGAGGACTGACCTTGAAACTAGGGATGGCTAGCTAGCATGGATTTTTTAATTATTTTTTTGCCACAGAGAGTATATCACCCCTTTAAGAGAATAAGAATTTGCAACATCAGTCCCTCTGGAATGGCAAAACAGCATAAACGGCCTTTTGCACTTGCCTCACCACCTCTGAGGGATAAAGACAGCTGCCTGATACAGAGTCAAGCAACTGGTCCATCTAGCTTGGAATTACCAACATTGACTGGCAGAGATTCTCCGGGGCTTCAAGCAGCCCTACCTGGATATGCCAAGGACTGAACCTCAAACCTTTTGCACATGAAGCAGATGCTGTACCACTGAGCTACTGTCCTTCCCCTTCTGCCTTCTCAGGACTGGCCCAAGACATTTCACTGCCTGAGACAGGATGACCCAAGTCCACGGAAGCCGACTGCACTCACAGACTGGCAGCTGAATCTTTTATCAAAACTGCCCACAAAACTTCATCACACCTGAAGACTTAGAGGACACAGGGAAGGGCATGTGGCACACATAGTTTGGTCCTCTAACACCTTGCTGCTCTTCCCAGAACTTTAGCACCCACTAACTGATGCAGATCACTATCAAATGGTAGGACTGGCCCTTTGCATTCCATGCTCTGTCTCCAGCTCCAGCCCCCAGCTCCAGAGACTAACTTCAGGGCCCCTAAGTTGAAGAACTTAATTTCCAGACCTTGCTGCCTATGGTGATGAGGAAACCCCGTATCTACTGAAAAACATTTTCTTCTTGACTTCTTCATGTTCTTGGACTGTACCATGCCACTGAAACGTGGTGGTGTGCTGTGGCTCAGCTTAGCCATTGAAATGCAGCTACTGTGGCCTTGGAAATATGTCCTAGTTACCTCTGATCTGTCCTACACATGACATAGGAAACCCCATATTTGCAGGATGAAAGTCCTCCTCATTCCACACGGCATGTGATGTTTTTGAACAGTTCAGTAAATTGTCCTTGAGTTTCCAGCTTCCCACATGTACAGCACTAGTTGTTATCTATGCAGACATGCACACACAATTGTGTGAATTAATGTTGCAGTTGGAAGCATTGTAGGCTGAGACCTTGCCTTCCAAAAGTTGAGGGGTGAGAGAACAGCTAGCATACGGCTCCAAAACAATTTGAGGTTATGCCCAGCTAACGATCCCCAAAGCAAACAAAACCTACTGACAAAGTTTGTTGTGCATTTTTCAAATGAGCACAGTTATTATTCTGCCTCTGCAGTTCATTCCCAGGCCAACACATAACTATGCTTTATCACAGACAGGAAAGTTATACTAGTCAAAAGCTCAGTTAATGAGTTTAAGAAGTGATTATAAGCTACCACAATTCTCGATGCACTGTGCTCTACAGTAATAATCCAAATTGCCTGTGACTTATGATTATATTTGGCAACAACTCCGAGCTCCCACTCTAGTGTGAAATTAACACCACAGACTGTAGCAATGGTATTTATTGAGCACAAGGGAGTAGATTATGGCCTCATAAATTCAGAGGCAACCTCTGCTATTACTTAATTAGAATCAGAATCTCTGCATTAAGTTCACAACTGCACTTGGCAGGGCTCCTGTAGTCAGGAAACTGTCGGGATATTCAGGATACAATTTAGAACCCCAAACTTTTGGTAGGCAAATTCACAATTAACTATGAGAAACGGAGCTAGAACTTGGGTGGACTAGTCTATGCTTAGCCTAGAGAGCATTCTGAAATCCATGTGTGAATCATGGTCTGGATCCCTGCTTACATTATAAACAACATGGTTACTTCTTCCCCTATACTCCTCACAGCAAAGCTCTCTTTTACCTGATCTGTTCTGTGCAACCAACTAAACTACTGTAATTGGAAAGGGTATTGGATAAAGTGGCAAAAAATGGCAAAAATGTGGTTTAAAGCATACTCTGACAGTGTGGAAAGGTCCTAAATATGTATGAGATAATTTATTTATTTTTCTTTTTTAAAAAATATTTTTATTAGCAAATTTAACAAAAAAGAAAGAAAAAATAAGGGGGGGAAGCTGTGGGAAAGAAAAATAAATAATATAAAAGTGAGAGAAATATTTGATTTCTGTTTGAATCCAAGGCTGCGGTTGCGTGTGTAGGTCCCCAGGCCACCCGTCAAATAACTTCACACATAACACGTAATTTTAATTTTGGTTTTTGGGCACTATTTTGGCCACAACTTTATTAAAATACAAAATCAGTGAGTGGTTGTTTAGACATTGGTTATGACTATCTGTCCCCTCGCCTGGGACAGAACTGACATCCCGAGGTCCGATCGGTAGCCAGTAGAAGGGAAAGTCAAACTTGGGGGTCATTTTAGCTGAGCGTCGGACCCACACCGCTCACCCCAGCAGCTCCCCGAAGGCTTGCCGGCCCTGGTCCCATGACAGGGATTGGACGGCCCTGGTCCCATGACAGCGATAGGATGAAATTGAGGCAAGCCCCAGGATTCCTTTAACAGAATTCCCTTCAGCGCAATAGGAGGGGCAGGCACAGCCTATCCTGACCCCTCCACCACCAGCATATTATAACCAATGCCTAACCGCCACACGAGCTTTAACGCTCACCGCCAACCACTCACAAACCCAACCAGGAACCTAATTTTTTAGCCACAGCATCCAACCAAATATCATTCCCCAAATCAGAAAGGTGCACTGCTTCCGCCTTAAAATAAATGCTAGGGTGGGGAATCACCAAACCACCCAGCTCCAATACCTTCCCACAAACAGCAGAGTTAATGCGCTTCCTGGCCCTTTCACCGGCCTCCGGGCGGGAAACACCGCGCCAGGTTTGCCTCTGCAATAGGTGAGACCAAATTATTCTCACTGAAGGCTGCCAATGCCTCCAAATCCCTTTTGGATTGAGGTGGGTGTGCAAAGCAAGGCAATCAATAGTTGCCACATCATTTCCCCCCAGCTGCACCACTATGGCCATAGGGTGGGGGGGTCCGAGAGCAGCCGGCGACCAATCAGCGGCATAAACTCTCCCCATGACATTCCGCGTCTGGAAAACCATGACACTTGCACGTGCTGTGGGAGGCCGAGACACGCTCCCATTGCAGACTGCCTCGCTCTGCTGCCAGCCCAGTGAACCATGCTGTGTCCCACTAACCAGACGTGGACCAGCGTGGGATCTACAAGGGTTGAAACAAACAAGCATTAGTACCAAACTCAGCATTTGTTTCGCACATAACCCTTGAAAGCATCTGATTTCCATCTCCCCAAATCCTTGATCCTGGCGGCTGAGAAGCCCCAATGGGCCGCCATAGTCGCTGCACCTATGCGAAAGGAATGAGGGGCAAAACCAGAGGCCGTGATCCCACAAGCAGAGATGGCCTTACGCATGACTTTTGTGAACTGGTGTCACGCCAAAGGGTGACCATTTTCATGCATGAGTAGGGAGCCGTCCCCAGGAGGTCTCAAGGCCAAGTACTTCCTTACATCTTTGACCGGGCACGGGCCCACCTCCCCAGTCGCTGGGAGACGGACAACCTCCCCCCGACCCAGCTGGTCAGTTTTGGAGTTGCGCACTACAAGTCTCAACTCCAAAAGGGGAACGCATATATCCTGAAGGAGCAACCCACGAGAACCAGCAACTTCTAGGATCGAGCCAGCCCCCAGGGGAATCCTGCAACCTAGGCATTACCTAGGCATTACCAGCACCATACGCTGACCAGCTGAGCTATCCAGGATGATCTTTAAAGACCCAGGGATGACGTACCTGCAATGAGATAACAAACTCGAGGCAGCCCACCACCTGTCCAGGTACCCCTGTTTGCCCTTTAGAGGGAAGCACGCCCTCAAGAAACCCTAAGTTCTTTTTGGGAGCAATATCACAAGTGGGCCAAACTACCCAGCAACAAAATAGTCCAAAAGGAGCAGCTTGTTTTGTTTTGTGATAACAATGGCTGAGTGGGGGATATGAACCCTGACTCCCAGGTCCTAGTCATGCGCTCTAGCCACTAAGCCACAATGGCTCGTCTCTAAAATGGCAGTTGCCACTATCAGGGCAAAACAAACTTGAAGAAAATAAACTTGTTCAGAAACAGCATAGTTAAAGAGCATACACAGAGTGCTCATTGGAGGCACAGAGAGCCTCTGGCTCCACTCTGTCTGCCTAAGATATACATTAGCAACAAGTGAGCCTGCAAACAAACAGATAAATTCTTATAGAGAGAATGAGACACATGTCACAGAGACTTAACAATTTACTGTACTGCTAACTGTAGCAGGCTTAGGCTTGAATGATATGTGCAGGCCTCCCTGCTTCTGCTCTCTGCCTTTTTTGTCTCATTGCAATATTAAAGGAACTCAAAATAGTGCTCCCGCCCAAGGCTAGATTAAAACTCGGCCAACAGCACTGCATGCACCCAAAATAAAGCCAACCTTTGGGGATACTATAAACGAAAGTGATTCCAGCTGAGCTGGGAACAGCCCTGACTAGCCCCACAATTAAACAGGCAAAAATGGGGAAACCTTTTTGCAAAAGAAAGCCCCTGATGGGGGCTCTCTGCCTATTGGGAAAGGCAAGCCAAGGAGGATTATGCACAGGCAGCGCTCAAAGGTACAGGGAGAATCTTCCCACAGGGCAGGGTAAGGGGTGGGGTGAGGAATCAAACAGGAAAAAAGGGAAATTAAATTAATTAAGGGACTAGAGAGGATTAAAAAGAAGAAATGTAACCAGACAATGAGAAGATTGCTCCTGATTCGATGTGAGGCATCAGATCAAGGCCTGCATTTTAAAATGAGCTTAAAAATATATTTGCAAATGTTTGTATGTTTTATGCCAGGCATAAAGCAGCTGGCTGGGTGCTTTGGCAGATGTTTATCTTCCTAAACAGGGCTCCTCTGATCTATAGCAGTGCCTCAGGGTTGTAAAAGGAAATTACAGGCTGGGAGCAAAAGGTCACACTGACCATGCAAATTACAGAATACAATCAAGCTGCCAAAACACTAATTAAGAGTTGGTAAATAGTAAGTTTTATTGTTTAACAGAAGACTCGAGTCATATTTTCCTAAGGTTAAAGGGCAAGAGCTAATGGGAACAGCAGCTGGCTTGAAAGGGGTTGCTTTTGGAAACTGTTTTTACTTTGAAAAGGCCTTTTCTTCTAAAAATCTATATATGTTATGTATGAAATATATTGGCTTAAATGTAATTATGCAAAGGATTTAGAAAGTAAGAAATGTTAGATTCTTATGTTAGATTCTTATTTCATTGATGGTGTGTGAGAAGGTGAACCCAAGATCTCTGTTTAAGATAAAAATTAAAACCATTAGCCATCTGTTTTGGAGTGAATAGGGCAATAGGGCAATAGGGCAAAGATGATCTGATAATTAAGGTGCCTGGTCGAGGCAAATGTAAGATATATGGCTACTTGTCTGCCATTTATGGATAGAAGGAAATATAGCTCTTTGTCTCCCATAAAAGGTAATAGGAAATGGGTGTATCTTTTATGATTGGTTCTAGCAAACAGCCAATAGGAATTTCAACCAGGCTGATTGGACAGAGGCAGCCAAAGGAGGAGCAAGGGGGCTGGGCTGAGGAAATATAAGTGCTGGCCATCAGGGCTGGAGTGGGCAGAGCTTTGGTATCCATATACCACTGTGTCTCTCATTTATTTGTCTGACAAATAAATAATTATTTTAATTTCTCTATTGCTGCATTGAATATTTCATTCCAGCTAAGCGTTAACCACAAGCAGGGTGCTACAGATGCACTCTGCAAAGAGAAAGAGAAACCAGAGTGCACCAATATTTAAAGACTATGGTCCCACCCACCCAATTTGCAACATACAATTTGCCCCAGCAACCCAGTTATCCAATCACAATGAGGGGCAACAACTATTAACCTGCCTGGCAACAAGAGGGCTGGCCCGGCGGCCCACACCGCAACACGTGCTCTCATTTATTGGAGAATACGCTTTATGGGAGAAACAAGACCCTTTTGGGGTGTGGATGCTGTGACCCCCTCCATGGTAGAGGCTTAAATTGTAAATAAACCATATAGGCACCAGAGTCTCCACTGTGCCTCATTCTCCAAGGAACCCCTGGAATCCCACAGCGCTCAGAGATTGAGGTGCTGTGCAACCCCATTGTGCTGATTGTCTTTAGCTGCCGCTTCTGCCCCTTTTGGTGGGCAGTTGAGCTGAAGACTAGCTGATGAAGCAAGGCCTGCACAGAAAGTGTGCACTCTCTCAGGAGCAATTCAAGGAATTGTTTAGGGCAGTGCCAGCTGCAGTACCTAGTCACTACCAGGCAGCTGCCAGGCCCAAGCACCCTCGCAGGCCACACCAGCGCTGACAACCCCGAATGTGTACCCTCTCTTCCTGCAGTTGCCCTTTTGCCTACCTAGCATGTTTTATTTATGTACAGAGGTGCTTTTATCTTATGCTGGGCTATGACCATAATAAAGATTTGGATTGGACTGAATGGAATGGTGATGTTCCATAATGCATGCAACATCTCTCTATTTTTAATCTGTTTTAGTATTTCAACTTTTGTATGTTTTCAAATATATATGGTTGTGAAATTTCCTTGATTTTGTTGTTTTATCTTTTCGTAAACTGCTTTGAAAGGTTTTTTTTTCTTTTTTACAATCAAGAGGTGTATAAATTTTTACAAAATAATCATAAATAGCTTCACAAAAAATGTACTTCATTTACAGTACTGGAAAAGGGAAGCAGCGTTTGTAAGGGATTGATGTGGCAGCAATTATTATTGTAGAACAGATGGGCTTGGGAAACACTCATCCCCCCATCCTAATTTGCATTTCAAAGGCAAGTGGAAGAGAAAGCCTGTTGGGCGGGGGCTGCGCAGATCTGGGTTCAAAACCCTACTCATCTATGAAGCGCACTGGATGACTTTGTGCCAGACACCATCTCTCAGCCTAAACTACCTCACAGGGTTGTTGAGAGGATGAGGAACCATGCACAATGCTCTGAGAGCCTTGGCAGAAGGATGGGAAATACATATACAGTAATTAA